TTTTTCTGGTTATATCTGTATAACATAGCCAGAAATCACCAACTATTTCTTTTAAGTCACTCTGGATATATTATATAGCTTAGTACACAGACGTATGAAGCGTATATGTACTTAGTATATAACATAAACTCTTTATCCATATGAATAACCCGAATTATCAGAATCATCATCTGCTCCTTTATCTAAATCTTTATCTGAATCAACATCACAATCTAGTACCAGGTTTTAATTTTGAATAAACTTTTTCATCCATTATTATATTATCATTAAAGCAGTCAATCCCCCAATCAGAAGCAATAGCACAAAATACTTTATCTATTGCGCTTGTTTTGAAATTTATCATACTTCCTACAATATTAATAATAGCATTTCTACCAATGAAATAGTTATTTCTATCACCATTATTATAATCAAATGACGAGATACATTTTACTATCTGCTTTTTATCGGATGTATATATAATTCTTCCGAATGTAAATAGATGATTTAGATTTAATTCTTTAACCCTACATAGATTAGAATTAAAAAATGTAATATGGTGCGACGGTTTCTCTTTATATATCATATTTAATCTATCTATTTTGTATATAATGTACTGTTGACTTGCATTTAAATTGATGGCAGCAGGTTGCATTATCACAGGGTCTTCTTTAGATATATGCATACCCACATATTCAGCAGTTGTTTTATCAAAATTAAAATTGATAGTTAATTTTCTCACAATTGAAGTAGTAGTGTAGATGCTTATATGCAATTTCCCAAATATATCAGATTTATGGTTTTTAAGTGTGCCTATTCTAAGATCTGTGTCTGCCGATACTTTCATTCTTTTATTGAATGAAAGCAAGATCAATATTTTATTAACTAAATTATTAGTATCCTTCGTCAGTTTTGAGCTTAAATTTTTTCCTTTTCTTACTTTTTTAATAAGCTTATTTAATTCTTTCTTTATATCTTTAGACATATTAGTTATGTCTAAAATAATAGAAAGCATGCTTAGCAAGCCTCCATTACAATGCTGGTGGGTAAGGCTAGAATTTGACGAATTCTTATGTGTCAAAGTATTAATTAACTTATACCAGTCATAGTGAACACTTAAATCTTCTGTGTCAAATAGGTCTCTGTACTTAGTAAAGAACTGCTTTAATTCTACGGGAGAATTTTCAATTGTTTTAAGAGTGTACTCCATATCTGTGCTGTTATAGAAGCAACAGCAAAGTAGAGTAAGTATGCTAGTTTCTGTCCCAATAGTAAACTTTTCTAAACCAGAAAGATATTCTAGGTTAGTAGGAGAGAAATGCATGGATGGGTTGGATGTATTCCTAGAACTAGAAGCCATGCCAGTTGGGGACAATTCATTATTTTTATAGCAAGTACGTAAAATATCTGGCATGGATAGTTCTCTATGAAAGGGAATAAACACATATTCACTCACATAATTATTAGTACTTTCTATATTTTTAATGATTCCTGCTTCTATATTTAACAATTCTTCATCTATAGGACAGAATATATTATTAAAAACACCTATAGCGGCCTTGTCTGTAGTAGTTAAGTATCCTTGTTTTTTTATTGCTTCAACATGACCTTTTAGTATATTAAATGTTGTTATATGATATTCTTCCATATCTTCTTTACTGGATATATACTCAAATATATATGTTTGTATAAGTAATTTAGCCATACGTACAGCACGTGCAGTATTGAAATCGGTAATAGGATTGAATCTATTTTCTAATTCTTTATCTTTAACTTCTTTATAGAAATCAACTATATTTTTAGTTTGCATGTAATAATGTTTATAATCTATCAAGCATGGTTCATTTTCATCCATTTTGGCCACGTAAATTTTTTTTCCTAGCTTCAATTCGGTACTAAAGTAATTCTTAGTGCCATATTCAAATGTTTTAAGAACAAGCACGTCATGTTTAGCTTCATCTGTTTTTATTTCTAAAGAAACATCTACCCCCTTAGAAAGTAAAAACAAAGAAGCAAGCAGTCTCAGCCTGTCTTTTTTCTCTGGAATATTATTAAGAAAAGCTAAAAATGAATATTTTTCTTCTGAATCAATTGTTGCTCTTCCATCCACTGTAGGAAACATGTCAATTAAACACCTATAAAAATTCAAATATATATTTGGAAAGGGAGGTTGGTTATTTTCTAAACCACGAATGCCATTCTTATCAGTTGTTTTACTGCATTTATAGACATTATTGCCAGATTCACTAGCTGTAACTTCCATTTTATATTTCATCTCTACTTGACAACCAAATCTGCTTAGGTTATATATTTCACCAATCTTGCTAATGGCATATGAGTTTGTAGGATGCGAAGAGTTATGTGGAGATACCATTCTATTCACACCTTTATATGATCCAACAGCAATTCCTTTAAATTCTTTTACATCTTTCCATACCATTCTTGCTTTTATATTTGTTATGTATAATAACACTAGACAGTATCTAAAGTACATATAATTTTTGTTTTTGAGTTATATTTATACTTTTAATTTT